CTATATTTATATCACCTGTATCTCGATTTCCATTGCAAATAACACCAAAGCAAAGAGATCATGGCTTTATGGGTGTCAGACAGTAGACAGCCTACTAACCATTGCATTCGACCAATAACACCGGACGAATTGCAGAGAATTGAATAGCTGCGTTGTTCTGGTTGAAACATTGCGTGTGCGTTTGTTCTCTGAAGTGCTTCGAAATAAAACAAAAATCGGGAAAAGTGTTTTAACCACTTTTATGAAGTTATATAAATGTCGTATACATAAACATTTATAAAACATATATGGCCGCGTGTTTAGGTTGAAGTACTGAAGTGTGTTCGTTTTTTTCTGATTCAGAAGTGCTCCAAAATAAAACAGTTTGGAAGGAAAGTGTTTTAGTTATGAACATAGATGTGTCTAATAGATTAATATTCTCTGAAACATTTATAATTATGGTAATTTGCAATTAAGTTGAAACATCGTTGGTGATCTTTTCCGAAGTGCTTCAAATTGAACAGTTAGAATGCTCTGCTGTGATTCGAACCACACCACCACTGTCACCAAACGCAGAGTGTAAAAATATGCCACGATGTACTTTGTCAGGTGTGTCGATTTCCAGTTGTACTTATAGGTTGTTATAAGAGTACTTACAATCTGGTGATTGAAATGTTACTGACATGCTGATAACTGATATAATATTTGGATTTAATGAAGTCGGAACTTCATAAAACATAAAACTATTTCCTGAATAAAGTAATTTCATTACCATCTCATGTCACCTTACGGGTGGTTGTCTCAACTACGAGTCCCCAGTTCAAGTTCCAGGCTACAGTTTAGTTTATTTTCATCCAATTATGTTAATACAGTTGGTTGCATTAATCCATAAATGTCCTATCCTGTAAATTATTTATTTTGAAAAAGGCGATGTTTGGGTGTTAACAATACGCTTAATTTTCATCAAAAATTGTTTTAATTACTCCGACAAACACCTTTCCAATAATACTACTGTTTTGATTGATACGGGTCATGTTTTATAATATAATACACATGTCTTTAATTTAAACAGTACGCTTTCAAATAAAACAGTGTGTTTTGAACTGTGTTCTCGTTTAAAGGGCGGTGGTCCTCGCGCAACACAGCCCGATTTTAGGACCTGTATATTTCTATGTAATGTTTTTAGGTTTCGTTGAGGATTATTGTGTAAATAAATCGCTGTAATTATGTCATCTATTCGTAAAAGGGATGTTGTTGCTTCGACAATGGCCTACAGGCAAACGTGACAGCGGACTTCAAAACGTTCCATTCTGATTGGACGGCGCCCTCTCGCGCCAATGTTTAACAATATAATAATAATGTTTTATTGCATCTTTAGAAATATCATTTAAATTAGTGTACAGCAATAAAGTGTAATATAAAATAAAATATAAAATAGTTTAGAAAGAAAAAACGGCCAAAAGCAAGCAGCAAGCAATATACTGAATGTACTTAGATCGGTGAGTCCCTTTGCATATTTAATCAGGGCCCGTGTCAATTCACAGTACCCTGATTATAGCTCGTCAGTTCGATTCGGCAGTATTCATCATTCTATTTTTTTCTGTGTCAGTTCAGCCATGAACTAAATACACTAAATAAGAGACTCTTATTTAGTTTTATGCGCACTAAATAAGAGACTCCTATTTAGTCTTATGCGTCATTCAAGATGGCGGCCCCCGTATAGTAAATATCGTATTTATTTTATTATCAAGTGTGCGCCAGCTGACTGTGCCTCAGTCAATGAATAACAAAATACCATTGACGCTGCAGGTCGGCGTTCTTTCAACACCGATCTGACGCATATCGCGCAAGGTGTGTCGGGAGTTTGTTCGAAATTTCGAATGCTTAGAAGTGAATCGTCGGCCGGCACGTATTTTACGGGTATATCAAATCGTTTCAGGGGCATGTTTACTAAAATCAAAGAAAGCTTAGAAAGAACTCCCATGTGCTGATAGTATTGGAGACACATTAAATATAATTTGAAATTACTTAGCTGAAAACTAATTATGCAAATCAGAAAATTAATATGAACAGATTTGATTGTAAAACTAATGAGGTCTACGCAATGTAACAAAAACTCTATGTACCAAGTTTAATTGAAATGTGATTAGAACAAAAAAATTATGAATTATTATGCTAATTAGGGAAATAATATGAGTTTTACCCCAAACTAATTAGGTTTGTACATTGTCCTAGAGCATCTTTGTACTAAGTTTCATTAAAATGGAAATTAGTACTTTAGATATCAGTGTGAAAGCTTAAAATTGGTTAATTATGCAAATTGGGTAATTAATATGTACAGATTTTAACCCACAATTATCCAGGTCTGTCTATTGTCCTACAGCATCCATGTATAAACATTCATTGATATGTGATGATTAGTACCCGAGATATCAGTGTGAAAGTTGTAAATTGGTTAATTATGCAAATTAGGTGATTAATATGCACAAATATTTACCAAAAACTAATTGGGTCTCTGCATAATTCTAGATTCATTGACATGTGATGATTAGTACTTTAGATATCAGTAGAAAAGCTGAAAATTAATTATGCAAATTAGGTAATTAATATGCACAATTATTTACCCTGAAACTA